TTCTGGCAGAGATGTCTAACTTAGACATTTTTAGACGATATTATCGATAATATCGGAGAAAACGAACTGTCCCAATAGTTGCCCAGACAGACCTGTCTAACTTAGACATTTTTAGACGTTGTTAGACGATATTATCGATAATATCAGAGAAAAACGAACTCTCCCAATAGTTTCCCAGACAGACTTGTTTAACTTAAACATTTTAGACATTGTTAGACGATATTATCGATAATATCGGAGAAAAACGAACTGTCCCAATAGTTGCAAAGACAGACCTGTCTAACTTAGACATTTTTAGACTTTTTTAGACATTGTTAGACGATATTATCGATAATATCGGAGAAAAACGAACTGTCCCAATAGTTGCCCAGACAGACCTGTCTAACTTAGACATTTTTAGACTTTTTTAGACATTGTTAGACGATATTATCGATACTATCGGAGAAAAACGAACTGTCCCAATAGTTGCCCAGACAGACCTGTCTAACTTAGACATGTTTAGACTTTTTTAGACATTGTTAGACGATATTATCGATATTATCGGAGAAAAACGAACAGTTGCAATAGTTGCCCAGACAGACCTGTCTAACTTAGACATTTTTAGACGATAATATCGGATAACGTTAAAAAGTGCAATGTCGCGCCTTCCTGCCTTACCGGGCACTGACAAAGATCAATACGTTTACTATGTCCACACAATCACGAATCGAAATTTCAAACTAGATCAGAATTAACCATGCTTCGAGTTTCAAATATTCAAAACGACCACTTTCATAAAGGCAGTAATATACCAGAGGTACAAGTAATGTACCTCCGATTATACTTACGTCTAAAAATACTCTGGTGTGAAATTTCCACCGACAATCGGTTCACGATGCAAAAATTACAGCTTCAACAACAGCGCCCTCAACAGACTTTGGAAATCACGTCTCACTCGCTCATGCATGAGACACGTAATAAGGGTGTGAGCAGAATTTATGGCAGAGGGGGTGAGAAAATGGGGGGCATGACAAAATTATGGGTGGCTCAGGGGGGCTTTGAAATTTTAAGACAGCTGTTTTAAATTTTAAAACACGACAACGTATAACTATTTGTCATATTTGATTCACTTTTTTACTTAAGAAAAACAAAACATACTTGTAGATGTACTAGTATAAATAAAACATGGAACAACAGTATAAGTAAACATGTAGTTTGACCAAAGAACGATGTGATTTGATTGTAAATTTTTATGGTGGAAAAAACTTCAAAAAAAGTATTTTATATGTATATGAAACCTTTGTAAATATGTATTAAAGGTAGCAACAGAGGAAATGTGGGCATATAAAATAATGAATAATAGTTTGTTTTTTTTAAAAGCAAAGAAACTAGCACCCTGATTTAACAAACTGTATGCATTTCTTCCTGGTACCACTTATTGTATTCAATATACTTTGCTATAACAATGTTTTTCTTGTCCCCCAAGTACAACGTACTTTAATCAAGCCACGCAATTCCCCCTAATGCAACACCCACTCTATTAAACTCTCATGGTATTACAGGAGACGATGTTTGTACCAATATCATTCAGACTCTTCAGACTCAGGATCTGAGGTTAATGCATGTTTCTTTTTCTGACGGGCTTGTAAAATTGCAATCAGGTTATCAGCATTATCAGGGTCCTCAAATGCATTGATGTTTCTCAAGTATATTAGACCATTGAGGTGTTTCCTGGGCAACAGCTTCTGTTTGGCAATTTTATTAGTACTAATAACCGTATCTGGTTTATGTCCATATTTGGATTTAACAACTTTTTCTCCCATATCAGAGCTGTATGCGTCAACCACTAGCATCTTTGCCTGTTTGATGGTTCTTTTTTTCCTTTCTTCTGGTATCCCCCGCCCTTGTCTTCTTTCTTTCTACGTTTTGTTCGTACTCGTTCTGTTGATGCAACACGAGTGTTATGAAAGCGAGACGTCAGTTGTTGAATAGTGTGCGTTATGTCATTTTCTCGACTTGACACTGTTTCCAACCACCTCTCAAGGGTATCTAATCTCTTCTCAATAAAACGCTGTTGGTCCACGGTTTGGGATTGTGGTTGTTGTCATATAATTGGGTCTTTCTGTTCTTTAACGTCACTTGCAAGGCTGTGATATCTTGGGAGAATGTGCTTAATTTTTGACAGACACTCTGTGCTTTCCAAACATCATGGACGGAAACCCCATGAGGGATACATGTGTACCTCAGCATATTTAAGTACATGTATTTAATATGGCCACATATCATCGTAAATGCATGATCACAGATATGATGCATGTATTCTTTATGGAATGTAAACATATTGAAAAAATGGGTATTCGAGAGGGATCATGAAAACAATAGGTGGTTGGTTGGGGGCTGCCAATTTTGTATGCAACAAGTTGGGGTGGCTGCGAAAAAAAAGTGAAACAAAATAATTTCTCACCCAACCCCCCTGTCATAAATTCTGCTCACACCCTAATTTGTTGGGTTAATCATATCTTCAGTTATACCTGCGTAATGTTGGTTTAACAGCATTTGTGTGTGGTATATACAACCAGGCCGGGACTTCTGGAGAAAGGTGGCGTTTTGAGTTAATAATTCACGAACAAATGCAATTGATTAAACAAATATCGGGGACACACATTGAACAGCTGCGTGATCATTGGGACCAAGTATCAACCGGTATAGATCTGGACCAGATGTGTTCGAGGTATGCTCCGAATCCAGTAGTGGAAATGGCCTTTACGATGGTCAAGTAGACCGTACCTCCTCAATATTCATGTGAACATTTATCAATGATATTTTGTTGAATATTTTATCATTTCAAAGTCACGGGTCGCCAATAAATTCATCGTTTGTCTAAAGCCAACGATACAATAGCATTTACTCGATCAGACTTTAACGCCGATTATTTAAGACGCCGTTCACGAACAAGCTCTAGCTCGGTAAAAAACGTACATATTATTTGTTCGAACAAGCCCGTTTATCTTCTATTTAATACACCCGGACGTGCCAAGAACATTGTATTCCATATGGCTACAATGTATCTGCATTATCCAATGTTTTTGTAATTACAAAAAAACATGTAAATACAGAGAGAAAAAAACGTTTTGTTGGGAAAAAGTTGAATTTAGAAATAAATAATTGTGAAAAACGTTCACACAAACAATATAAATATATTCTTGGCCATTCTGTTGCCATTTATTTCCTATCAATATACACCGGTTGATTCGTCGCGTGGGAACGGAGACATAGTTTTGTATTCGTTACTTTTGATAGTTATGTAAAAATCTCCACAAATTATAAAACGTACCCGAAAATAACTTAAAATAACCAAATTTCGTTACAGACAATGAAAAATGTCACTTTTCTATAATGTACATTGCAGGTCATCCACGAGGAGCATAACAGACTGGAAACAATGATTCAATTTGCCTTTGACCTATCTTTATTTTTGTTGGGCCCGTGGGCGGCAACGAGATGTGCAAATAACTGAAATAAGTCTCAAACTGCAAATAAGATTTTGATTTAATTTCGTCACTTTAATAAAAAAAAATGCCGCCACCACAGGCAAAAACTAGAGAACCACAGCTGAAATCTCAATTGCGATTACTTTCCGCCAATTCAATTATTACGTCAGAAACCAAAATGTTAAGATTATAGAAAATATTACAAATTCACTTAGCCATCATTAGCCAATATGCATGTATGTGACCAGTCAATTTATCTGTTAGACATAACCCAAACAGATGATGGAATGTGATTCTAACTTCAAATCATTAATTTATTACCTAGCGAGAAAATGTGGATGATCGTGACACTTGCTTCTATGCTATCGATAAAGAGCCATTGCTCGAAACGTCTAGCTATTTTTAATAGTTATTTAGGACTACGATTACCAAATATTATCTTCAATATATCATACTTATCAGTCCGAGCAGCGTTTATTTATTTATTAATGAACAAGATTATACTGGCTAAGCTCAACTCAAAATCCTTGTAAAACTGCCAATTTAGCAGCACTATCACGTTTGATAATTAACGTTTAAATAAAAACTACAAATGTAGATTGATCATTTTATGCCACACAATCTTAACTTTGAACATGTATTCTACATACTCGTAGCTCCAAACATATCCTGTATTCCCTGATTGGCAATTTTGGCAACAAATAAATAAACTTTTATAACATTGTTCTACTAATTTGGGTTATACATTATTAATGACAATATGGTACTCACATAAATCTCGTGAATCGTGCATATGATGGCAGGTCTATGTTGAGTTAAACTCATAATTAACATGCTCTTTTCGACCCCGCCCAAATATTTGCACAATGTCCCCAGTAGAGGCCAACAATATTCCCAAAGCCTGGCCAAGACAAGACAAGAATAATCTTGCTTTATGATTTTATCAGTTTCTGGATTGAAATTAATATCTATCTTCCTAACTTGAGCTCAACACTACCAGTTATTGCACCATACATGCACGTGGTGGGAGGGAGATGAATTTCCCTTACTATGCTTATTGAACGATACATGGTTCCATCAAACACTGGTCAACAACAGTGCCTTGTTTAACAAGTAGTCTTTGGAAGATCCTGTGCCTCTTGCAAACTCCTCAGACCCATAATGCAACTCCAGCTGGACATAGAAATGTCCCGGAGAGAAGAATTCCTGGAGGGGGGGGGGGGGCATAATAACTTGACCTTCTGGTTGGACTTGCATACGAGTGCCAAAAAGCCCTGTAGTGGTTGCCAACCCAGAGCAGCTGGTTGAGGTGTCCTTTATCATAGAATCTGACAATGTCAGTTTTAACGAATACATTGAACAATAGAGGGATGGGATGGGGGGGGCAACATATGATGGTTCTGGAGACTTGACAAATTTGAAATGCATAAATGACCACAAAGTTTTTGCAAATACAAAAACTTGTTTTGCTAGGACAAAGTTGAATTTTTAAATCATTGAATATGGAGAAAAAAAATAATACAGAACACATTGTTAGCTCATCTGTGGATATTTACTTTTTATTGATAGACACATCCATAAATAAATACCATCTTTTGAAGCATATTGCCAAGTAATCAGCAAACAGCCTGCTTGATATGTGCAACTGTCCTCCCACAGTGACGGTATGTACGAGTATCTCACCCTATGAACACACCATTTACAAATAAGTACCTACAAATGACAATGTTCAGCAAATCAAGTGATGGCATGCATAATGGTTCATCTTAAACTTAATCAGTTCAGGAGATTTGCTCGTCATATCCATTAAGTTAAGAATTTCTGAAACCTGCATGCACCTCTATCCGATTTATCAGAAGAGGACTACATAGCTATAAGTACACGTAAAATAACTTGTAGATTATCTTAATTAAGAAATGTAAGCTTGTAAAAAGTCAGGAATTATTTGAAAATATGCACACTTTTACTATTGTTATATAAATACTCTATATAAATGTATTTTTTTCAAATTATTTATTCTCTAAAAAGTGGGTTTGTATGCTTTTGATTTATTAAAATGTATTATTACCATACATGTACATACTATTGTTCAAACAAGGGAAAATTTTATTGTTTTACAATTTTTTTGTTTTTTTATATATTGTTACAAATTGTATAAATCATCACATGCCCAAAGCCAAACATGTCCAAACTGGGCTAAGAATTATGATTTTTTAATATATTTTTGATTACAATCAGGTTACCGCAACCTTAATGAAAACATTTTCCCCCAAATTTCATAAAAGCCCAAATTATATATACAAATTATCATTAAAATGAATCACACTTTAGATATAACTGAAACAAAAAAAGATTTAAAACAAACAATAAATCATATATGTGTATTGAAATATGATGAATTTTCACTTGCATGAAAAATATATAATACTAAAATCAAAACATTTAAAAAACATCAAAATCTGGTGACTGCTGAAAAACCTGCAGGTACGCAGCAAAAAAAAATGAAAAAGCTGGAAAATAAAATAATTAATTTAGAAAATGCACTGAATAATATTTAATTGTTTTACAATGACAATAATTAAATGTGTATATATTAATTAGGAAATGTAAATCAACCCTCAATCTAAACAATGATTTGAAAAATATAACCAGAAAACAATCTTGTCTGCATCAAATTCAGTAAAAGCAGTATTGGAATTCAATCTGGTCAGTAAAAGTGACGTTTGATTTGAATATGGTCAGTAAAACTGGCACTGGAATTGAATCTGGTCAGTAAAAGTGGCGTTTTATTTGAATCTGGTCAGTAAAACTGGCATTGGAATTGAATCTGGTCAGTAAAAGTGACGTTTGATTTGAATATGGTCAGTAAAACTGGCGTTTGATTTGAATCTGGTCAGTAAAACTGGCGTTTGATTTGAATATGGTCAGTAAAACTGGCATTGGAATTGAATCTGGTCAATAAAAGTGGCGTTTGATTTGAAATTGGTCAATAAAAGTAGTGTTTAAATTGAATCTGTCAGTAAAAGTAGTGTTAATTGAATTTGTCTCAATTCAAAATATGTCGGGATTGAGAACATATGTAGACAATCTAGTAATAAATACAACCAATAAAAATATATTATATTGCTCTAAGATCTTATATTTAAGTAGATCTTAAAATAGTTCATTGAACGGATAGTGTGGTCGGTGGTCATCACGTGGTATTATGTTGTCATCTTCATCCTGTAAGAGGTCAAATAAAAGACAGTGTACCGGGTATTAATTACGTTATGACTTTAAATGATGTGATGTGTAAATTGTTTTTACTGATGGGGAAAAATACTATAAAAGCTGCAAGGATATGCAACCATATTTTCATTTGGGTTTGACTTACAATACTTTCATCAAGTAAATCATGTTTCCTACCAGACAGAAGTATAATGCTTAATATTGAGTTGAATTATCGCATTTTAAAATAATACACGACATCAAAATTGTATTTGATATAAAACAGGGTATATACAAAGCTTATGAAAAATTTAATTTTGTGGTTACTAAGTTATGAATTATAGTCATATTTAAGCATACATTTTTTTTTTATTTATTTTTTTTTTTTTTTTTTGAGCCTGGCGACAGTTCTGGACATTGAATGCCACTGTTGTCTCTTCTGACTTTTTTTTGTATGTGCAAATTTCAAGTGCTAGGGCCGACAGTGTATTTTTGCCACAGAAGTCATATTTATGTTTAGAACTACATGACAGGGTCGTGTGGCTATCTCTTTATCAAATGGCAATTTAATGTGCTATCCTGGCGTCAACCAGGCTCCTGTGGACCTTAAACAAGGCTCCCCCAAAGTCACATTCGTTAGTGAATGAATCTCTGCCGGTGGAATTGGCCTTCCCATTAAAGTCTGTGGCACACTCACCCAGGGTAGGGGGTCGACCCTTTTGATGTTCAGCCCAAGGTAGGATTTGAACTTGGGTCTACCGGCCACGTGTCTGATGCGACAATCACTATGCTACCAGTGATCAGTTATTTAAGCATACATACAAGGATCAGAGAAACATGATCCTTGATTTACTAAGACAATGAAAGTTTCAATTGTAGAAATAAAAAGTAAAATGAATTCTTACTCTTGTATATGGTACGTGTTGTCTTATTATGGGAAATGACAGTAAATCATCCATATCATATGCATCAAGTTCAAAGTCAAATACCTGCGAGAGAATATAAGGGTACATCTAATTACCAAGTACAAGAAAGAAGACAGCATGTCAACTAAACTGCCCTGATCTCTCGTTACTGTCTGTTAAAACACTCACATGATAATATTCATCTTACAAATAAATTGTATTTATTATCTTTACATACCTTGCTATTTTCAATGATTCTTTCAGGGGTAACACTTTTTGGTACGGCGGCAACACCTCTTTGAATCTGAAATCTACATACAGATGTATAGACTATAATACAGTGGATGCTTACAACATGAAATGGAACACAACTTTGTCCCCCATAGAATATACGATCTGCCCTGGTCAACTTATAAATGCCAGAGTTGTTAGATATGTATCACTGATACACATTAGACAGAAATGGCTGCAAAGATCTCAATGACAATCAGAGAGCCACAAGATTTTGTTTTCCCCAAATAAAATATTTTTTTTCTCTCCTGTCATCGTATCTACAGCTCCACTGATCTATTTGAAAAATATGGTATTTATCTCTTACAAAATACCATGAATAGTAGAAATAATAGAGCAATATATCGAAGCTGAATTTTGGGGTGAAAAATGATTTGTACTACACAATGAAAACGTATCCCATTACTGCATTATCACAACAGATCTTGGACTTCCATTATTGATATTTATTAATCATTACCAGCAATAAATGTGCTGTCATTCCTGTATTAACATTCCTGTAATTAACGAAGCATACCCCACATGAAAAAACTGTAAAACGTGTCTTTTTAGCTAGCGTGTTATTTTAGCTAATCCATAATTTCACTAATTCACGATGTCGCTAATTAGAATAGAATATATTCTCACAATGAGATTGTTGACACTTTAGCTAAATTAAGATTCAGTTAATTCGTGCATGGAGTCAAATTCACTAAAATGGCATGTAGCTATTTAAACATGTTTTACAGTATGTAAGATTTGTATAGTTGATTAATATGGTATCAACGTTTGAAAATCAGATAAGAATTGCTCAAGTTAATGTAAATGTAAAGTTAATGTAAACAGGGTTAAGGTCGGGAATGACGATGTCACTGCCAATAAGAGACACTTTTCCAGCATATACCTTTCATTAACATTCTAGGCAAGCTAAAGGGTCTAATATTTGAAATCATGGGCAGAGGTGGCAGGAAGATTTGTAAGAAAGATTTGCAAGCTAGACATTGAGAGAAAAAAAATATTCATGCAAGATGCACTTTGGTACAATGTTGGCAAATTCAAAAAAAATAATCAAAGAAAGCTGAGTGGTAAGTGGTACTAAATCTGTGGAACATCTGTAAATTGGTTAATTTATGCAAATTCAGTAATTAGTAAGCACAAAATTTAACTTAAGTACCAAGTTTTATGAGTGGTTGAGATATTGATGGAAAAGTTAAATATTGGCTAATTAATATGCAAATGAAGTCATTACTGTACATCTAATCGGGTCTGTGCATTATCCCAGAGCATCTGTATACAATGTTTCATTGAAATCTTGTTTCATAACGCACGAGAAGCAAATGAAAATGCCTAAAATTGGCTAATTAATATGTAAATTAGGTAATTATTATACACAAGTTTTCAACCGAAGCTAATCACATCACAGCATTATCCTAGAGCATCTACGTACCAAGTTCATTGAAATGTTATAATTCGTTCTTGAGATATCAGTAGAACAGACAGACCGACCGACCGACAGACACACACACACACACACACACACACACACACACACACACACACACACACACACAAAGACACAGACAGACACACTAACCTCCAAGACTTCTATTGTTTGCTTTGCACACAGGAGTAAGAAAACTGAAAAAAATTTACTGGTCACTCTTCCCCCCATCCCTACGATTTCAACAAGCCATTGAAAATGAAACAGTTCCCGTTAAATTTGTGAAAGTTCTCTTTATGCTTGACATATTAAAGCGGAGGGGGGGGGGGGGTCCTTGAAACTTGAGTTCCAAGTGGCGTATACAACAGATTGTTTATTTACATCAAACACGTGTTTCGTGTCATAGTAATATGGCCAAAAACAAAAACAGCCGTTATTTGGCCATCTTTGATCCGATTATGAAACACACTGATATGTATGATGTATGTGCCAAATACAAATGAAAATGGTACATAAATTGTGGAAATATAGTAGTAAGGCCAAAAAGTCAGATTGCTGTCAATCGGCCATCCTCGACCAGATTTTGAAACAAATTGTCATGGCTATGCGTCCTAATATGTATAAAGTACATGTATGTGCCAAATTTGAATGAAAACTGACAGAGCACTTCCAAGATACCGCATAAAAAAACAAAACAAGATGCCTGCCAGTCGACCATCTTTGATCCAATTGCGAAATAAATTGTCATGGACATGTAACTTAACATGTATAACCTATTAAGTACCAAGTTTGAATGACAACTGACAAAGCTTGTCCAAAGTACAACATTTTCAAAAAACAAGATGGCTGCCAGTCGGCCATTTTGAATCGAATCGCTAAACCACTGCATGTGCATATGTGCCACATAAGGTACTAGGCACATGCAAAGAATGAACAGAATCTGTCCGTAGGATTCTGAAATATTACTATTGACAGACTGACGGACGAACGGACGGACAGACGAACAGACTCAGGAACTCACGGACAGTCTGGGACATGTATCCTAACATGTATGATCGATGTACTAAATTTGAAAGAAAACTGACAAAGCATGTCCAAAATACAACATTTTCAAAAAACGAGATGGCTGCCAGTCGGCCATCCTTGATCCAATTGTGAAATAAATCGCCATGGACATGTATCCTAACATGTATAATCTATGTACCAAATTTGAATGAAAACTGACAAAGCATGTCCAAAATACAACATTTTCAAAAAACAAGATGGCTGCCAGTCGGCCATTTTTAATCGAATCGCTAAACCACTGCATGTGCATATGTCCCAGATAAAGTACTAGGCACATGCAAAGAATGAACTGAATCGGTTCAAGGGATTCTGAGATATGACTCCGAACGGACGCACGGATGCACGGACGGAGACCGAATTACAAGTCCCCGTTTACGGACTTCGTCCGAACGGGGACTAATTAGTTGACCTCTAAAAATGATAGCATGATAATTTATTTACCTTATCATGACCTGTGCCGGGGTTTTTCCATGCTTTTCAGCTATCTTGACAATTTTTTCTTCAGACAACATATCACGTTCTCTCGGCAGATGCCATTTGCGGTCACGTGACCCAAGAGGTGTATGTGCAGTCATTGAAATACCACGATGTTTACAAAATTGTATCAATTTCTGTTGCGGTAGAAAAGGATGGCACTCGACCTGAATTTAGAAAACAAATAATTAGATAACCACAAAAGCACACAGTTTCAATGGACAATAGTCGTGTAATGGGATGCCAATTACAGATGCATCTGTTGGCAGATCACAAAAGGTAGCTGAATTTACCTATATCAGCTATATTCAG